GGCGCTCCTGGCATCGCTACTAGGAGCGATCGGACGCTACTAGTAGCATCCTCTTGTTACTAGTAGTAAGGCCAGGAGCGCCCCTAGTAGCGTCCGATCGCTCCTAGTAGCGATGCCCTTTGCTCCTAGAAGCGTCCTTGTTAAGGATGGAGAAATGTTGCAGGACTCTTGAGAGCAAATTGGATGTCCTGTTCGTTGGCTTTGCATTCACAGAAAGTCAACATGACTACAAATTTCAGTTCATTGGGCATCCATCTCTCTCTCTCTCTCTTTCTTCACCGCAGCCTCGGGTCGAAGCTGATAAGCTTTCTCCAAGTTCTGCAACTTCATCGTCTGCTCGGCGTGGTCGCCGTGGGACATGTTGCAGCCTCAGTGCGAAGCTGTGGGTGCCTTGAAGCCCTTGAAGCCCAAGGCTAAGTGAGGTGGATACGCTTTTGATGCCTTTGTTACTATAGTAGCTTCTTAGTCTTGTTCCTAGTAGCCAGGCCAGGAGCCCCGTTCGTAGCGTCCGATCGCTCCGGACTCGTAGCGATGCCCGAAATGCTCCGTTCGTTTTCGTCCTTGTTCCTAAGTGAATCATGTTGCAATGTCGAGACTTCACTGGTTCCCTTCATTGACCGGTGGTATGCACCGTCCACAACCAGCCTCAACCAGCCGCCTGGTTCACGTGCCTGCGACACGTGATGTCCACACTTGTTTGTTCGCTTTAAGTTCACCTGAAAAACAAAATGGTCCTCTCAAACCAGTCTTGTAGGCTCCACATGGATCCTCTGTGCCAACAACCGACTCTGCGTGAGCTTCTCATCTCTCCAATCCTCCCAGTTGCTTCATGCGATCAAGTGGCGGACGGTGTTCATCCCCGCATCGATCAAGCCAGCCAGGACCTGGCAGTGATGTCACGCGGTCGTGGTGTTCACCGGTGGACCCCTAAGGCGAGCGCCGTGAGCCGTGGCCATCCGGTTCACTCCCGCCTCATGAAAAGAACTAATGGAGGCACCCCTCCGAGGTTCCCTTGGTTTCCACGAGCAACCTCCAACCACTCTTGGAAACCCCCCTCTGGGTCCATGACAAGATCGAAAAGAAAGGAATCAAAGCAAAATATGCTAAGATGCAAAATATGCTAAAATATGGTCTTCTTCGTCCCCAAAACTTGAAATATGGCATCCCAAGGAAGTAACGACGGTGTCGTAATGGTCCTGTAAGCCAACCTTCGGCCCTTGGACCTCCGAGAAACGACCAAACCGAAACCTTCGGCCTCGGGGTCACAGGACTTGGGTCCAATGGTGCAGATGATCTCCTGCAGTCGTAGCGCACGCAACCCGCTGGCCTCGTAGCGATGCCCGAAATGCTCCGTTCGTTTTTTCGTCCTCTTGTTCCGTTCGTAGTAAGGCCAGGAGCTACCAGTAGCGTCCGATCACTCCTGCCTAAAAGAAGATGTTGGGGCAGAATGGAAGTCATCAACCTGGCCTCCCAAAAAAGGCCTAGACATAGAAAACAGATGAAGATCCCATCTATTCTGTGTATATTGACCAGTTCTGCAAAAAAAAAGAAAAAAACTATAGGAAGGTGGTCACCCAAATTCCAGGCAATCACATGTGCAACTCACCTACATGGTCATACCTCGCTGGTGAAAAGCCGCATCCGATGGTTGGATCAATCAGCTCAGCGGTCATCGCTCCGTCTTCCGGCTGGGGTTCTTCAGGGTGCGCTGCCCGATGATCTCGTAGGCCTGCACAGGGAAGGCTCCAACGTCCCGTCGTTGCCCAACATCCCGTCAGAAGTGCTTTTGCAACGCTTCTGGCGAAAAAACTGATGCGAGCTTCTGGGGCTCCAGGGCGACGCGGATAGCTTCCCTTCACAGTACCAATACAAATCAAAATCCAACCTACTGTAATTTAATTAGCTTCTATTGGCGAAGGCCTCCAACCTAAGAGCGATGCCTCCCAGGCAGGAAATATCGGAAGTAGCGGCCTTAGGGAAGTTGAAGTGCTGCTGCTGAAAGACATCGGTCTCAGTGATGCAGACGCACTCAGTCCACTTATGGCCCTCGCAAGGTCTCAACTTGTGGCAACCAAATACACAACTAGTAGCGTCCGATCGCTCCTAGTAGCGATGCCAGGAGCCCCTAGTAGCTTCTTGTTCCTAGTAGTAAGGCCAGGAGCCCCTAGTAGCGTCCGATCGCTCCTAGTAGCGATGCCCTTTGTTACTAGTAGCTTCTTGCTTCAACCAAATACACAACCAGAGTCGATTTCGGAAGGACGTTCAAATTGGCTGTTCACGTTCACCCAGGGATGACCTCCCTCGGCCCACACCCTGTGAAGCTCTTGAATTCAGTTCAACACTGCAACACTTCATCTTCGATGGTATGTAGAACCTTGTAGAACCACACTCCACTACAGCCATCAAGAGGAGAGCCCCGAGGGAAGCTTTCTACCCGCACGAAACCACCAACCAGTGAGTGGGTTGTTGCCTTTTCCCTGTTCTTTTGGGCCGAAGTGAACGAGCACTATGACATGATTCTTGTTCCAGACTCTTCCGACTCAAATCGCAGGATCGACCTGTGCGACCGACGTCCCACGTCCGACGTCCGCCTTTTTGAGTGAGGGGCACCGACCTGGGCAATGGCCGCTCTGACCAGTGTTTTGCTGCGAAATGGACCTGTCCTTCGAGTGCCCCAGCTCGACCCGCCACGTCCCAGCTCCAAATCGACGGACCGTCAACCGTCCAGGTCCAAATCACTGCGAGGCCACGAGCCCTCAAATGCCTCAAAGCACCTGCCGGTCGTGACGAAGTTCCGAATGCAACAGGGTGGAGGTGTGCGGAGGTGTGCTTCGGTGGAGTCGAAATGGATGCACTTCGTTGGACGAAAGTCTGTAGATATTGTTCCTTATGTGTCCTAATTTTGCCACCACTTTTTCCCCTTTCTAAACGACTAACGACTCAGAGCTTGGGGCCGAGGTTCAAACATCAAAAAAAATGTGTCGCCAGTCCATGTGATTGCATTGGGCTCATGGGTTGTCCAAGGTCTGCTTCCAACTTGGAGGAATGCTTAACATCACCGAACCTGTGTCAATACCATTCAAAACCATTGTGTTTTCGGTCTGAAAGGGATTCAACTTCCAACAAATCTGCGGTGACACAAATCGAGATGTCTCCATCTTCGCGAAGAGTGATGCGATTCGTCGGGGAGTCAAGGCCGAGTCAAGGCCTCCATGAAAGCTCCGCATGGCGAGGAAGTTCCGGGCTTCAAGCGAAAGATGAACGTCGGCAGCGAGAACGTCGCATGCGTTGGGATGTGGAGCAACTCCAGTGGGTCTGCTTGGGTCATTTGGGGGACGGCCATTTTGGAGCGCCACTCAGGATTCTCTCTTCAGTTTCCAAATGAATCTTCGGAGTGGGCCACACTTTTTGGACGACCTCGACTGGTCCACCTGGCCGTTGTTCTGTGGAAAATCCACCTGGCCGTTCTTGTGGCATTTGTTTTGGCGGTGGTTCTACTGTGGCTGATCGCATGGTCTTCACGGTCTTCACCTCTCCGCTGGAGCCGATCCAAAAGGATCACAGGATCGAAAGACCACGGACCCACGGTGGTACCGTGGTCGTTGAGGTCTCCCAAAATCAAAGTGGGATGTGTCTTTCGATCGTTCTTTACACAATACCCCCTCAAACACTCACAGGAGCGTTGAAAACGGAAACAGTGTCAAACTAGTTGCTGGAGAGATGCAAGCAGATGGGGGATTGCTAGGTAATCACCATGTGCCCCACAACTTGCCTGCCCCAACTCCTGGCTCTCCGGGGAATGCCGTGCAATTCTGCTTGGGAATCAAAACGTACAACATCTTAAAACCCTGGCTCCGCGGTGCCAAGCATAACATGGGGAATGCTGCTGGTCAGAGAATGAAGGCATTCCAACCACCAACGAGCAAAACTGATGTTAACCGGTCGGGTGTCCAAGAGCTGATGTTGGATGCCAAGTTGGCTCCTGTCCTTTCCGATGTCGAGCTTTACCGATGTCGATGACACAGAAAAAGTGTCATTGCCGATCAAATGGTTTTTTTGGGGGTATGTATGTGGCATTGACGTACCAAACGCTCTTTTCGCCCCTGGCACACTATGCGCCGCATCCCACTCATCCCACAAGCCAAACGAGCTCTGGTCAAAGAGATGCGGTGTGGTGAAAGGAAACGACCTGGACACCAAGTGGTTATGTGTTGAGCTTTGAAACACCCACTGCATTCGTTGAGAATACGACAAGATACTGCTGTTTTAGAGGTCATCACTTCACACCTATCAGTCGCCTATCAATCTATTCTCACAAACATAGATCTGGTGTGACTCCGTTCACATCAGAAAGTGATCACATCGAGCGGCTCCGTTCACCTATCAGGTGCGTTCCACTCGTGTCACAAAACCAGAGCCGCTGAATTCCGCCGAATTGTCGCCAGTCCCCTCACAAATCGTAGCCAGCTTTAGATCCAACCTCTTTTGGCGCCTCTGAAAAGATGCTGTGTTTGATGAAGTTTGATGTATCCATCCGAGTTTTTGAGAAATCTCGGTCCTTAGCTTTCTTTCAGCCGCTTCACACCAAGATGCCGCTTCACACCACGGTGCTTCGGTCGCACCCTCTAAGCGCCACACCGTGTGCACATTCGCCCCTCGGAGCCGTTGGGCCAAAAGCGAAGCTGAACGCGTCGACGAAGCTTAGCACATCTCAAAGAAAAGAAACGAGCGTGGCACGCTTGGTGTGCTAAGGCTCTAGCTCCCCATGTTTTCTGAGCCCAAGCCCCTTCCGTTGGCGCTTTGGGCGAACGACCCCCCGCCTGCGGGCTGCTTGCGCCCACTGGCCCCTCTCCACGAGGGGCGTCCTTCGACGGTCGGGGTGCCCAGTCAGGTGCACAGTCGACTGGGTGCCCAGACTCGCCAAGATTCCGCACAATGAGGTCTTTGCACATGACTTGATATGCGGAAATGGCATTTTTCGCTGGTGAACGGGGCGTGGAAAAATTTCACACCACCTGAGTCCTTGGAATTGTTTGATCGGACCTGCTTGGAACAACCAAACGTTGCTCCAAGAGCGAACAACTTGACGCTTGTTTCCGGGGTTCCATGAAAACATCTAGTTCACCAAGGGGCCATCCATCTTGTTCGCGACCAACCCAACCAGAAAGCCCAGAGTCCAAGTCCTCCCAGCCCATGATTTTGGGCTTGAAGGGCTGGTGAAATCAGAATTCCATGTGTTCATCCCGGACCGAAATCACCTCGAAGAGCGGTAAACACGTGCGGTCCGTGTGCACACAAGTAGCTTCCAAAGCCGAATCGGCGAACTTGGTCACGAACGCAGGCTGCTGTGTCGACAAGGTCGTCCACAACCCAACGCAACCCCAATTGCCAGATTTGGGACTCCATCCTGATACGTCAAGTCATCAACTCATACGTATTGGAAGACGTAAGAAGATGTAGAAATCGCACTACTAGGGTGGAGGGCATTGCTAGTAGCTTGGAGGCCATCGACAGTACAAATCTATGAAGAACCATTCGCACCGCCCGACCCCGAAGCAACGTGCGCCTTGCGCTTCCGCCCTCGCGGGCGCCACCGCCATCGTTTGAGCACTGGCGGCGCCGGTGACGACCCGCACCTGTCCTTCCTTCGCGCTAAGGCACTAAGCTCTACACGGAGCGTTTGGTGGCTCAAAAGAGTTCAATGAGGTTGACTTCATGAAGAACAGCGAAGTCAAAGGGCCTGGGAAGGTCGTGGTTGTGTCGGAAGGGGACTTCAATGGAATCTTCAAGCATTTGTTGATGATCGGGCGTTTATTCTTAATATAGAAGACAAAAACAAGAACAAAAAATCATGCATAAGACTGACATGAAGTCTCTGTCATAGCATCCGATCACCATCAGAAGCATCCGAACACCTGAAGATTCCATTGATTTGGTCCAACAATGTGTTTCTCGTGGCCCTCAAACAAATCGAAAGGTTGCCCTTTGAGTTTATCGATGTTGCGAGCCTCGGGGAAAACCGGGCTGTCTTCGATTGGTTTGCGGACCACTATAAGCTGATGTATCGTTAATATCTTTGGACTACGTCGTCTACGTTCACCATCTGAAACCAAACGCACTATCTCTTATATATGGACTTACTATTCTCAATCATTGGGTGGATGGCCTCCATGTCGGAGTCTCTTGCCAAAGAAAACAGAAAATGATAAAAAGTCTTTGCGAATCTGTTGCTGCCCTTCGGTGCAATGTCGACTTCGTGACAGAAACTGCCCTTAGTTGCACAAAGACGCGGAACTTCTTTGTATAGCTGAGCCCAATGTTTTTGGCTTTTCTATGAGCTAAGCCAATCCCTTCTGTGTCACCCTACTCCTTGAAAAACTTGAGAACACGGGAACTGAAGGACCCTCTGCCAAGGAGCGTCACCCAAGTGCAGAAAAGAAGCCAAATGCCTTCACTCCCTCACGAAGCCCACTGGCTGATATCGATATCTTTACACCCGACAAGAGTGCCAGCTCGACAAGCAACAAACCACCTCTCCAAGCACCTCTCCGGGGCGGAAACCCCAGTCGTCCCGCACGTCCCACTGGAATTTCTCTCAGGGGCCCCTCCATCAGGAGAAGCCAATGTGTTCAACCCGCGGAATAGGGGAAGCCCCGCACGGAAGGCGTCCAGACGCACGGAAGGGGTTGAAAGAAATCCGGAGGCAGAGGTGATGCCGCTATCCCCATATTTTGTGATGCCTTGGCTCGGATTTCTTCAACAACCGAACTTCAACGACCAAGTTGGCTTCAGGATTAAGCTCAACCAAGTTGGCTTCGACTGACGTAGTGGAGGACCAAACCGAGTTGCGCCCCCCCACCGACTTCGGCTTTGGGGGAGGCCCATTCGGCGAACTCCAATCGCGGAGCAAGAGAACCATCACACCATCCAGTGGGATCGTCTCCTCCAGCCGTTGCATGAAAAATGGGTTCCAAACCCATAACCACACGACTCTGATCTTCCCCAGAAATTCTCATCTGCGTGGCAAACACCACCACACACCGTCTGGCGCTGCTTTCTGCCGGAGCTTTTCAAGTTCCAGTACCAGTGAGCTGAGCGCCCTCAGCCCACCCAGTCCTGCGGTGAAGAAAATGGCGTCCCGCGGCTCCCGAGAGCATCGAACGAATCGTGCGCAGAGCGGGGCTGCAAACCTGTTCAGATATGTTAACTCTACTTCCATAGTTCTGAGGGTACACAGCAGAATCTCAAGTCCATAGATCGTGGCAAACCACCCAGCAAACCTCTGCAAAGGTCGACAGACGATTCCATCGATTTGGAGACGTACCGATCGTCACTCGTCCGACAGACTTCACCTTCGATAGGTATCGAGTCGATCGTCACTTCTTCAGGCCATTCAGTGTGAGTCACCCAGGACCGCATCCTTTCACACCACCAAAAGGACCCTGAAAAAAGAAATAACACATTAAACAAACAGTTGTGAAGGAAACTGGTCAAATTGGATTCCCTTTTTTCAGGGTCCCGCGATGGCTGTTTCAGGAGACCCCAAAAGGAGGCCACCCAGGAGTCCAAAATATGGAACAAATGAGACAGGGCGGTCCTCATTCCGCTGATGGGGGAAGTAGGTCAGAAGCCCTTCACCCAAATACACTGATATTTGCCATACCCGTCACTGAACTGACAAATGAAGGAAAGCTGGATAAACAGCATGATCCTCCGCTGTTATCTGAACCCACCTGCTGCCTGCCCTATGATCAATGGCCTGCACCTTGTCTTTTGGGGTGCCATTTCTTGGCCAACGAGGCGTGCGGAACACATGGTGCGAAGAAAATTCAGAGGACCTGCTCCGTGGAACATTTTGCTGGATGCCCTCGTGTTCGTGTTCACGGTGAGCATCCACTACTGTTCCATACTGAACATTGACCTGCAATGGCACAGGAACATGAAGGTGGGAGTCGTTTCTAGGCAGAACTCGGTTCTTGAGTTATGAGACAACAAAGTAAAACTGCCATGTAATTAATGGAAACAACTGTGTATATTTCATTGCATGTATAGAGTGCACGAAAGACTGCTGCAGGCGGACAAGAAGGAGGTGGAGAGGTTCTTATGTTTGGGACACACCCACTACAAAGTATGAAGCTGGTTTGTTAATTAGAGAAAAAAGGTAAGCTAACCCTACCAAAGGCGTGAGCCATTGCTATTAGGTTGGAGGCCATCGCTCTTAGCTTGGAGGCCATTGCTATTAGACACAAAGAAACTACTCCCTTATTGCAAAAGAAACAACAACGTGAGCCTTTTTGAGCATGAACATTGGTTCCCCGGAAGAGCTCAAACGGACCGGAATGGGAGTCTTGGAACTCCACCCTCGCTTCGAGGGTCTGTCGGTTCCATTGGAACATTCAAAGTTGAGTCTTGAGGCCGTCGCTACTAGGTTGGAGGCCATCGCTACTAGTAGCTAGAAGCTACGAACGTAACAAGGGCATTTCAAGTTGATTCTTGATGAACACCGTTGCTGTAAGTTTCTGTGCACTGACAATGCTTGCTGTTTGGTGGATGTGTTGAGCACGAAATTGTGCGAGAAGGACATGGCGATGAGGTGTAGCTCGTTTGAGAAAAAGAGGAGCGTGCGCCATACAGTTTCCGGGACAGCTGGGTATCGTTTGAGATTGAAACAGGTACACTGGACCTCAACAAACCATTATACTAGTAGTGATATAACTATACGTCTCTGTCAAACAGAAAGTGTACAGCTTTCGGAGTTTCCAGGGAGACCCTGGAAAGGCAGTAAACATGCCAGGTGTTTCGGGTGATCTAGCCTGGGGGTGTCGTTTGGGGCGCGTGGACGCGCCTCTCTCCGCTGGCGCTTGGCGTTCTCGTCGGGCTGAACGTTTGGCCGGCGGCCTGAGTTGAGTCCATTGAGTCTATCGGTTGAGTCGGTGCAAAAGAGAGGAAAAAATGCATGAAGGTGTTTGGCCCCCAAATAACACCCTTTGAAGGGGGAAATCGTTCTTTTAGGCACCAAACACCTTCTTTGTCTTCCTCTCTTTCGTTTCCGTGATCTTGGACCTCAGTCGCCATAGTCCACTGCCATGACTGTCCTGGAAGGAGGTCATAGTTCCATTGAAGACTTGTGAAAGTCTCTTCGTAGTTTTTGTCATTCTTTGTTCGCATGTGCATTTGGGTGGCTCTTGGACAAATCCAGTGAGGCTGCGGATGTCGAAAACAGAAATGGTGCCGGCTAAGCAGCTATATAAGTCTCAATTGCTCAAGTCTTCCTCTTACATGGCTCCTGGCATCACTACTGGGAGCAAGGACGCTACTAGGGGCTCAAACGTTTCCCCTGTGCCGTTGCCCATTCACGGAAAACAGTCGAGTTGCCACCCGCATCGGCCGGGCGCTTCTGCCTCGGTTGGACAATCGAACATGCAATTCGTTTACTACTAGTAACAAGTGCCACGCTAGTAGTAACTAGTAATAACAAAAAAGCTATTAGCATTAAAATTAAACAATACAATTACTAATTGTTTCTTGTTACTACTAGTAAGGCCAGGAGCCCCTAGTAGCTTCTTGCTCCTAGTAGTAAGGCACTTGTTTCTACTAGCTTCTTGTTACTACTAGTAAGGCACTTGTTACTAGAAGCGATGCACTTGTTCCTAGTAGCTTATTGTTTCTAGTAGCTTATTGGTACTACCCAGTAACCCGCCACTTACGCCTTCTTGTTCCAATGGAAATCACCAGATGGGCTTGCAAGCTCGTGATATAGTCACACACAGAAGTGGTCATGGATCATGACCATAAGTCAGACTTAAGGAGTACCTTTCAGACCGAGGTTGTCAGAATAGGGTGAGACCAGCAGATCGATGCAGTCGTACTAGCCACAAGAATAAGCAGAACCTCCAAGTCCAAACACGCCACGCCCAGTCATCAGCTCAAGAGGCCCAGTCGTGGCATCTCGCTCGGCTTGACGCTGCGACTCGCGCTCCTCCTGGCGGCTTTTTCTGGGTTCGGAGACACTCCCCGGCGGAGCTTCACCATTTCGTGGAGAAAATCATGGGACCAGGTCAGGATCAGGCATGTTTTTGAATCAACACCCGATACCTGGCTTTACTTCCATGTTTGCTTAAGGTGAAGGTGATTCCAAAAGCCCTGGATCTTTCACCATATCTTCACATCCCAATGTGGTCGGAATTTCACCGCTTTGACTCCGACTCCACAGCCTCCTCTCTCTCTCTCCCAGTCCTCTCGGTGCTCTCGGTGGTCTCGGTGCTCCTTCTCTCGGCGCTTCTTCACATCCAACTCCTTGAGATCCCGGTTGTCACCCGGCATCTTCCTTAGGGGATGTCACAAACGCATAGAAACGCGTGACGGACACGGAAGTTGATAGACTCGCAAGTGCATGTCCAAAAAAGTTGGACAGTTTTGGTTTAATTTGAGAAACCCCAGGCTACCTGGCGAGTCACAACACCAAAGGCCCAACTGAACGAGTTTGATTCGAACGATCCAAATAATTGAGTCACCGTGCACGGTTTCTTGAAGGAAGCTGGAGGGCCTCCAACCTACTAGCGATGGCCTTCCTGCACCCGAAGGCCTCCAACCTAAGAGTGATGGCCTCCAAACTAGTAGCGTTCTTGCTCCTAGTAGCGATGCCAGGAGCCATGCACTTGTTACTAGTAGCTTCTTGTTACTACTAGTAAGGCACTTGTTCCTAGTAGCGATGCACTTCTTACTAAGCATTTAAATGCAGCAGGTCTCAAATCAATCGGATCACAGGGCGCCGGATCCTCAGCACGGCGCCCAGGCGGCACGATATCGGTGCCGAAAGGGGCACGGTCCGCAGAATGGCGACGCGACTGCCCCGTGAGGTTTGGCACCGAACTATGAAGAAACCCGTCGACTGGACAGTTTCGTGGAAAGTCGGGGGAACCTCTAGACTAGGGGTACTCAATTTGTGACCAGAAATACAAGTAACATCTAGTAACAAGGACGCTACTAGGGCTGGCCTCGCTACGAACGGAGCGATCGGACGCTACTAGGTCTTGCAAGGTCTTGGCGTTTCCATCTGTTGAGGTCTATGCTAAGCATTTCTTCTCTCGTGACCAAGATCGGCAGTGGTTTCAGGTGAACACCGGATCAATTTGCACACAAGCCCAGCTATATCAAGTGAAAACCGAGTCTCAGTGGTGACCCCTTAAATCCCCATTCAAAAGCGTCTTCCCCGTGCCTATGCCATCTACTCAGCTGCAAGTGTGCCGTTCGTTCACCAAGCGGTACTGGAGTGAAAATAGAGAATCCCACTGGGAACCACACTGGGAACCACTAGTAACAAGGACGCTACTAGGGGCTCCTGGCCCTACTAGTTGAAATTTCACACCCAAACACCAGTTCCAAAGCTAGTAACAAGTGCCACGCTTCTAGTAACAAGTGCCTTACTAGTAGTAACAAGAAGCTAGTAGAAGCTATTATTGATAGGAGAAAAAACGCGTTCCAAGCGCGTTCCAACTTGGCCCGGACACGGTGGACCAAAAGTCGTGACGTTTCATCTGTTCCTGGGTCCCAAGAGGGCGACGCGCGGGCGACGCGAAATGCCCCGGGTCTATCTTTCGCGTCCGATCGCTCCGTTCGTAGCGATGCCCTTTGCTCCTAGTAGCGGTCTTGTTCCTACTAGCTACTTAAATCTACTTAAGTCTTGAATGGCCTCCAACTTAACCTAATAGCGATGGCCTTCAACCTACTAGCAAAAAAGGAATATGAAGTTCATATACAGTAAGTTCATATGGAAGGAAAGAAAAGCAGAAATCATAGATCATCTCTGATTCCTGGATTCAACGAAAGAAGGTCAGACACCTCGTGATCTGTTCTCGCTCTTTTACGTTTCCTTGGCTCAAGCTGTAAGTATTAAGCACCCCAAAATCATTTTCTGTCGCCTTCCTCATCACTATCCGGTCATCCACTGTTGCTGGGTGAGGAAACAACCCCATTCCTTCTCTAAAAATCGCAGGTTGTCTTTCCTTGAGTGTTCTTGAAAATATTGAAAATAAGGAGGCCAACCTAGCTTGGAGGCCAACGCTAGTAGGAGGGAGGCCAGAACGCTAACAGGTTGGTTCGGTTCCGATCGCTTGAAGTCCAAATGGTGGGAAGAAGTGCTCCCAAAGGTCGCCCCAGAATCGTCATCCGTGCGTGCGACACGTTCTTGTCAAGAGGGCAGGGGGGAGGCTGCGACAGTGGGCTTAAGTAGGCTTGAGAGACGTAGTAGCAAGGACGCTAGTACCTAGGACGCAGACTAGGGCTCAGGCTTAATGATTTGGTTCCAGGAAACTGCACTCATCGAAGAATTCAATTTGGTTCAGCTCAAGAGGAGCCAGGAACTAGACTTGACTAGACCAAAACCAGAGGTTGTGACTTGGATTTACACTTTTCACAGGAGGCGTGCACACATGGTGAGGGACCCAATGCGTGGACGTCTTCCACCTTTTCCGGCTTGTCCCAGGTGCCGAGTCCAAGCGTTGGCCAGGGTCTAGGTGCAAGGACGCCTTCCGCGAGAATCGAAAGAAATCGAGCCCCGTTCGTAGCATCCGATCGCTACTAGTAGCGATGCCAGGAGCCCCTAGTAGCGTTCTTGCTCCTAGTATCACGTCGAGGTCTCGTCGTGGGATGCTTCGGTCCATTGAGGCTTCCGATCTGCTCACGTTCCGATCTTCACTAGACCAGGAACCTTCCCACCAGCAAGAGCCATGAATCGTGCGTCAGAACGCATGGGTCAAAAGAAAGGAAACTAGGAACAAGAGGACGCTACGAACGGGGCTCCTGGCCTTCCCCTACTAGGGGCTCCAAGAAGGCTCATGCGTCCTCCGCCTCTTTCCGCCTCCTCCGCGTCATGTCGGTCCCGGCCTTCAAGAGATCGGCCGCCTCCTTGCCATGCTTCGTCCGCGCATCCACGAAGAGGTCTCGGTTGTCGTGCCCAGCCTTGGACAAAGCCGAGACGCATCGAGTTTGAGCTCCACAAAGAACCGAGTTCCATCTGATCTGTCTTTTAAAAAACTGAAGGTTTCCCTTTCAGGTGCGGAAGCAGCATTTCCGTCATGCGAAGCCAGCGGTGCCAACGATGCCAGCAGCTCTCCAGCTTGGGAGAAGTTAGAAGAAAGAATGAACCAGAATCTGATCCACTGGATCCACTAGTCCCAATATCCCAGATGTTCCCAATTCTAAAATATAGACTTTCTTCTGGAACGGGATCGTACAAAATGAAAGAAAAGGAGGCAATATCTTTTCCAATTGGGGTGCTGGCTTGATTAAAGAGGATCCTGACCCGAACCTCACCAAAGTGACTGGGGCAAAGAAGACCGCGGGCGGTTCCAACCTTTTTCCAACCTCCAACATCATCGGATGGACCAGGGGATCTGACTGCAACGGTCGCAAATCTGAGACACTGAAGATCACTGAAGATTCGAGGAGGGTGACTTTTCATGTATCTACGGAGTCTATCCGTGGAATTCAAAAAGCACCCGTCCACTACCGGTTGATTTAGAAGGTGGTTACTCCCGACTCAGCTAGAAGTGGTTGACAATTGTTTGGGTTCGGAGTCACCCAAATCCACAAAGCATCCTCCGAGTCCTTCAAGCGAACCTTGTTCACTTCTTGTGGTCATGAAGCCGCTCTGAAAAATTCCCTATTAGGCACCGTCAAAAAGCATCCCCAGCCGCAGCGTAGCCTCCTAACAGTTTGCTGCTTAGGTATTGGCAAATATACAAAAAGAGATCCAAGGAGCCTATTGAAAGCCCATCGGGTACAATCTTGAAACATGTATTTTTAGTTTGCTGGGACTTCTTCTTTTCAGTCTACTCTTCGGGAGGTCGTGCACTGAAAGTTCTACTGGCCGGTGTGGAGCCAAAGCCGGCCAACAGGGTTTAACTTTCTCTCAAATAGTTTGTGGAACTTATTGTTTCTAATAGCTTCTTGTTACTACTAGTAAGGCACTTGTTACTAGAAGCGATGCACTTGTTACTAGTAGCTTATTGATTCTAATTAGGCACATGAAGGCACCACCATTTTCACGACCTGTCTCGGCAAGGTCCAAAACCCGAAATTCTGAACCGAACCCGCCTAAACACGCTTGCAGGCCATCGTTAGTAGGGTGGAGGCCATCGCCATTAGAAACAGAAAAAAAAGAAAAGGAAGAAAAGGAAGAAAGGCCTGTATCTAACGACTTGCTTTTGGGCTGACGCGACTCCGAGGGGCGCCCTGGCGGCTGATCTGCCCCCAGAACTTCTCCCAAGCATGCAGTTTCTTCAACGACTCGGGCCACTGGTCCTGGAGCGCAGGTAACGACGCGCAAAAACCCCGCTTTCGCGATATCCGCTTGGGAAGGCTACACCAATCTACCCCAAACGACACATGCAAAAGACCAGACCCAGCAAGATCTACGCCCAAGCCGTGGCTCGTCTAAGTTGTCATTGAATTAAAACATTCCGAGTCCATGAATTCAGCGGCTTATGGCTTATGCATCAGCCAACAAACCTTGGGTGTTTCAAGAATTTGAGGTGTTCTTCGGTTGCAAGCCCAGCCGAGGCCTCCTCAGCGCTCTCTCTCTCTCTCTCTCTCTTTCGTGCAGGAGTCACACTCGTTGTCCATCCTTCACGGTGTTCGATTATACAACTCACCTTGGGAATTGCATGGAATTGCTGGTTCTCAACAGCAGAATCCTCAAATGTATTCAATTGTGAATTCGACTGAATGATGCTCATTACATCCACTTGCGAATGGGTCCACAGCTGTTGCAAGGTCCATGGCAATCTCTCCCCACTGGCTAGATCTTTGCCAATCAAAACATCTCTTACTGCTCGAGGTGTAGGAAGACTCGTCCCAACCCCCGCTCCGGGTTGAAGGCCATGAGCCGATTCCGGATCCGCTTCAACACCTGCCCAAGCTGAGGGCATGGCTTGCATCGTTTCCCCAGCCAAGTATCTTGGAGTTTCATCATCCATCTGTACAAATCATGCAACGAGGGCTGACCCAATCGTAGTTGACTACCATGGGTGCCTGGGTGCCTGATTTTCCTCCACAACACCGGCATTGTCCTGAGAGGATAGTCAGACTTACTTTCCGGAAAAGACGCAGGAGACGCAGGTCTTTCACAATTCAAAAGTGAATTCCTCTCTTCAGCTCGTGTGGCAGCATTTTCCACGACAGAATAAAAGCAAAATCTGTGACGTTTAAAAATGGAAACAGGACCTTCCGGTCTCGCCGTACCCGCCGCTGCATCCACCGCGTCCATACGCGTCCCATACGCGTCCGGCCTGGACCTCCGACTGGTCCGGAAAGAGCGGCACACCGAAGAGCAGCTCTCCGAGGATGCAAGCACAACTCCTCTACGAGTCCGGAGCGATCGGACGCTACGAACGGGGCTCCTGGCCTTACTACTAGGAGCAAGAAGCTATTAGGAACCAGAAGCTGCTAGGTTGGAGGCCATCGCTATTAGCTTGGAGTCCATCGCTACGAGTAACAAGAAGCTACGAGAAACAAGGTGCATCGCTTCTATTAGCAAGGATGCTACTAGTAACTCTCTGCGGCCTTTTTCTCGTCTCGTTAAGAAAGAACTGGTCGACCTCCAAAATGATGCACGTCCTCTAAAACCAAAATGACGCACTAAAAGGAGCTCCAAAAAGCCGTTTGTTTTGGATTGCCCTCTACAACCTAGTGGCTTTCGAGTTTGTTTTGCACATGTATATGACTCTGAGTAAACCTGCTGCTGATGTATTGTACGATAATGTACAGAATAGATGGAAAACATCCGGAACACTCACCTGTGACTTCCCGTCTAGTCCGCAAAGGCCATCTCCCAACCACCAACACTGCCAACACCGGCCGAGCTCGCTCCAGATGTCCACGCTGGGTTCATACTTGGGGCTACTGAGCAAAAGCTCAGGAGGCCGGTACCTGGGAAGAGCGGGAGGCCTTCGACAGGTCGAGCGGCAACAAGCAAACGAACGAGCGCCAACGGATTTGGGGCTTTTTGGAAACATATCCCGCATATCCACGCAATGAGTGTTTGATCACATGAAACACTTCACTCAATTGCAAGGGGCATGACTCAGTTGTTCATAGTATATGGGGGATTGTCAAGCTTTGTAATTCTGTCTTTTCTTTTGGACAAATCCTGCAGATTTGCTGCTCGGCTCGTTCACGGTCCCCCAAATGGATCAACCATAGAGTGAAGCAATGGTGCAGCGTGCCCATTCGGGGTATGACTTTCACCAAATGATGTGCCGCAAACAACAAGGGTGTGCTTGTGATCCATGTACTTGCGATCCTCAGGTTGATTTTGAGTTCGCCTTCTGCAATTCGTGTTCGAGGACCGTAGTTTGTCGGTGGAAAAGTGACACACAGCGGTCGCTATGCAATTTGGGCCGGCGCCACACATGTCCGGATCAAACTGACGGACAACACGGACAAGTACAGGTGCAGTAGAACTGCAGACATCTTACATCTTTCCGAAGCTCTGTCTTTCTTTTCTGGACGCAAATCGTATGTGGAAGATCCCGCCGGCCACTGCCAGCATGCCAAATGTTCTGAATGTTCTGACCGCAAGGTTTCGAATCCGGTTTTTAGCATCACGAACGCACCAGTTCAGTCTGCCCATCTCTCCATCGCTCCTTTCTCACCATGTGGCCACAAGGTAATCACCCGCGTGGTGTAGTTCTGTGGCGTCTTGTCCACAAAGGAGCGCGAAAGTCCAAAGTCACAGAGCTTCAGCTTACCCTCTTTGGTCAGGAGGATGTTCGATGGCTTCCTGAGTGCGTGCGAGACGCGCGCCCGTTCGGAAGAAGAGACACAGCTAGCTGGAAAGACAGACCCACATGGCAACAAGTCCTTTTCCCGTCGCCCGTTGCTCCTAGTAGCTTCTTGCTCCCTGTAGTAAGGCCAGGAGCCCCTAATAGCGTCCGATCGCTCCTAGTAGCGATGCCCTTTGTTACTAGTAGCTTCTTGTTCCTAGTAGTAAGGGGGCACGGACCTATGCCCGATGGGGCTTGCTGTGGATGGAGCGGATTTGAGTCGCGAGATTCAATGATCCAACCGTTCATTCCCCCAGAAGAACACAAGGCAGCTGTTTTTTGGGCCCAAGTCTCAAGTCGCGATGCATGATGTTCTGCATATGGCAGAAGTCGATGGCTTCAATCAGCATATTGCCAATGCACCTGACTTCCAGAGTTGACTAAAGCTGGGATCTACCAAACCTTTGAAGAGCCGTTTCGTTTATCCTCCGCATGTGGTCCTCGAGCAGCCACAAAGTGAAAGTAAAGTTCTTGGTCGGGGCCCTGACAAAGTTTCAAAGGGTCTCTTCATTCATAGAGTCCCAAGCGACCTTGCTTACACCTAACTATGGGGCATGGCCAAGAAACAACCTTTATATAGACAAATGTACATCCGATACCAGTACTTGACAACTTGTTCGCCCTCACCAAAGCGCCAACCAAGAGAGATGTTCTCCGGTTCCCACCATCGTCAGACTCTTATTGTCATGGTGATGTCACTGCGGAGACTCCCCCAAAAGGGTCTTGCTGGAGCACTTCTCCAGTGGTCTGGTCGTCCGAGGACGCAGTTGCCTTGGCTACGCCACCCATTTGGTGCATTCAAGCAGCTTGACTTCCGCCCTGGGCCATGGAACCCTCCGTCCAAGGTTTTGAAACCACCAACGACCTTCAAACCTTCAGGCAGGTCGATCCACTACAAACTTCGCAAACAGGTAAGCAAAACACTGATCAACCCAAACTGCTTGACGGGGGGGGTTCTCCTGGCATGAAAATGAGTTCTCCTCCCAACTTCGCAGTTTTCACCCGAAGCGATGTTTTTTTTCCGTTTCAGGTCTTGGAGTCTTGGGGTAGATGACAATCCGACCCACATGGAAAATCTCCTCCAGAGTGGAATCCCCTAGTCAGCTTCATACATGACTCGGCAAGATATCCAACCCGGTTGCCTTGTATGCTTGCCTTAGCTCTTAGACAAGAGAGTCGATGCCAGAACACTTTCGTATAGATATTGGATCCAAGACAACTGAACACCCAAATCTTTCACCAAAGTAAATAAGCACCTTGCTGAACCTCCAAAACTCAGCAAACCAACAAATGGATGCTGCGGCCCCACTAGGAACCTAGTCCCAGGTCTAGGGCTAAAATTGAGGATCCGGCGAACTGACGGTCCTACTACGAGAATGTGGTTTCTTTACAGCATGGGATCTCTTGCATAAACACATCCTAAAAACATCTAAAAACGATACATTCAAAAAATGTGAATGAAAGGTCCTAAGCCAAGTGCATCGCTACTAGTAACAAGTGCCTTACTATGATGAAAGTGGGTCATTCGCCCATCTAGTCTCGCCCCAGCGCCCAATCCCCTCTCCGTCTGTCTCACACCATGCACCTTCTTCGAGCTTTGATTGGTTGCCTACGCTTCCTTTCACCAAACAGGCTTGGGTGTGCCACTCCCTCCGAAACCATACGCCAGAAGCCATGTCAGCGACCCGATCGCGCAGGCCCAAAGCATGTCCTCGCGAAATCCTTGCCCGGCCACAATTTCAGCTTCCGTCGGTATGCAATATACCCTGCAACCGTCCGAATCTCAACCCGTCAGGATCGTGTCGGGCGTGAGTGGCATGCGATGTGGCCTCAATACTGCGGGGGTCCACATGTTCGGGGCTTTAACTTGAAGCGAACTGAAGAACCGCTGATACTCAAACCAAGTGCATCGCTACTAGTAACAAGTGCCTTACTAGTAGTAACAACAAGCTACTAGGAACAAGAAGCTACCAGTAGTTGTTGCAAAAAACTGCGCCATGAAAAGGTCGGCGTTCCCTGCTCAGTTGCCATGCTCATCCCTAAAAAGTCCCAGAGTCCCCTCAAAACCGGGCATCTTCTCTCAGTCTCAGCAGCGCGGACGTCAAAAGACTCACAAAACCCAAGACAATTGGACTTTGGTGGCTCCTAGGACCAAAGGGCATCGCTACGAACGGGGCTACTGGCCTTACTACTAGGAACAATGTTCGCTACTAGGGGCTCCTGGCATCGCTACGAACGGAGCGATCGGACGCTACTAACAAAGGGACATCGAAGACACAACAACACGACACCAGACACGCCGAGGGTAGGCTGCCGTCATCGGCATCAAACACCGTGTCATGGGCCACCCGTGCATACCAACAGCCACCCGTGCAGTGACGCGACAGAGCCGCTGGGGACTGACGCGACCAACGTCCGTTTGTCAAAGGAGAACCCCAAAACAGCAAACGACGTCTGCACTTGGCTTAGAACCCCTGTACTGCAACGACCGTGAGGGCAGCTAGTACCCCCCACTTTGCATCAAACCCCCCTGAGACCTTGCTTTTGCACCCTCGTTTGAGTGGCCCAACCCCTTAAAGGCCATTTTTGTTTGTTGCCTTCGTTTGCTCACCCGCCTGTAAGGTCATGGGGGCAGTACCTCAGACAGCAACGATGCATGTGCAACTCGCATCCTAGTTGGGAACCGAAAAACTGTTGGCCTGCTGTGAAAGTGTTCGGAGTTGTGCCATCAAGAACAATTTCGAACTGGCCCTGTCCCAAATCGCAGCTACCCACGGGTCAAAAACCCTGGTTCCCTCGTTGGCAAAAGGCCTTTCGTGGACAAAAGGCTAGGTGAAGTGCATGTGCATTTTGGGGCTCCAAAGAAAGGGCCTGCAAAGGTTTCGACCAATAAACTGAAGCTCATCCTATTCAAGAATCGCTGAAGTGGGAGTTTCCCCAAAAACCTCCAAGGGTGGAAGTTTTGGGACGAGAGAAAAGGGCCATTCCGAATGTCCGACCTCCGCTCCGAAAAGACGGAGAAGAAGTGCCTTACTTGTAGTAACAAGTGCCACGCTTCTAGTAACAAGTGCCACGCTACTAGTAACAAGAAGCTATTAGAAACAATAAGCTAATTAACCTAGTAGCTTCTTGTTACTAGTAGTAAGGCACTTGTTACTAGTAGCGATGCACTAGTGATGCTGAAGGCCAACAATGCGGGCCATACAGTGGGTAAAACAGCCAACGACTGTGCTAGCACATGCTGGCGCACTCGTCATGGAGCATCGGCGGTGTGCGCTTTGCTCAACTCAAAGAGCCAAAGACAAATGCCAAATGTTGGGAAACCCCCGCGACAGAAGTGGAAGGTCCTTTGAGGGGCAGTGTCTCACTGCCAAGTTCGAGACCCAATCACCATTTTGCCACACCCCAATTTTCATCTGATCACCATGTTCATCACCCTACTTCCAATCCAACACGTAGACTCAACTCCGCCAGGCCTCCCAGTGGAATCAAATCGTGAAGACCTTGTAGAGTCCAACCAGAATGACCCCTCTTCAATCCTTTTCAATCCTTTTCAATCCTTCAATCTTCAAACCGCCTCTCCTCCGCTGTTGCTCGGCTGTTGGGACGGGTTGCTCGAAGATCAGGTAAGAGTCACCCACTCCGGTGCCGGAGGTGTCGGTGTGAACATCGAGCAGTCGAACCACCTCGGTGCGAAGAGTCAATGGGAAAGAGGTCGGGTGAGGCCAAGTGAGGAGAGAAACAGGTGGTGGAAATGATTTGTCACAGCAAGAGACTAAGAGGTGGTTGCAGCATGTTGGCAACTGGCCAATTGGAGCACTTCAAGGGCCACGCGTGATCAGTGTCTGCCCAACGGAAGAGGTACCGCAGCTCCCATCTGCTAAATGCATTGTCAAATTCTGACCAAGAAGTTCTGCAATAGAAGGGTCCCTCCAGCAGGCTAAACATGGTCGAAACAATTTGCAGGTGTCAAAATTTCCATGTATCCTGGTAGAGATACTCCATGTGGTTTCTGAAACCCACCTAACAGCTCTAACTCTACAGAAAACTCGCCAAAAACCAGGTGCCAGGCGTTTTCGTGGTGCAGCTTTCGCAGGGCCCTGATCTCCCGCACGGCTGTGGTGGGGAATCCCTCCTTCTCGTAGCGGATCCCCACCTGACCGTGTCTCCCGGGCACGGCTGGACGTGTCACTGGTTCACGAGGCGACACAGCGGGCTTTCAGAGCCATTGTAACCCAGCAATGGCCTCCAACCTAGCATTCTTGTTACTAGTAGTAAGGCCAGGAGCTACTAGTAGCCTTTTTGCTACTAGTAGCGATGCCCTAATAGCAATGGCTTTCAGAAAATAGAAACCAAACCAGAAGCGGATGACGGGCTTTCAGAGCTGCTCGCAACACACGTTCCTTGATTCCAGTCGCAGCCATTCAACAGGGTGTCCCCAGTTCCACAGACCCACAACAGGGATGGATGATGCATGAGGCATGCGGGGATCCTTCGACCAAACCTGTCGCCACCGCCTTCTTCATCGCAACCTCCTCTTGAGTGGTCTTCTTCACCCCCTGCGGCGATGCGAACTGGAGACGGCGTCCACGCGGCGTCCACGCGGGATCCATTCTCTTCTAACTTGTCCTGCCCCCCAAAAGGACAACAGAATCCATCAAAATGCTTCAAAAGGCACTTCGAACCTGGTTTAGAAGGAAATAATCAAGCGAAGCCACGATCAATCTCGACGCAATCACCTAGATGATGCGTCAGGATTTGGGTCCATGTCAAGCACGCTTGGCTTCACGTTTGTGAAGAAGCGAAGCCAAGCAACAGGAAGGTCTTGTATTGGTTTGTAATCATTGCTACTAGCAGCTTCTTGCTACTAGTAGCGATGGCCTCCACCCTAGTAGCGATGGCCTCCACCCTAGTAGCGATGGCCTCCAACCTACTAGCTTCTCGCTACTTGCGGTTTGTATTGGTTTGTAATGCAAAGTTTGTATGATGCGTTCATCGTTTCTTTAGGTTCTTTGTGTTCTCTTTTGCTTGAGGTCCTGTGGTCTAAACTTCAGTGCAAACGATCCTGGGTGAACCCAATCATTCTTTGACAGTGTTGCATTGGCAGTCAAAGCCATCTCAAAATAGGCAAAAAAGTGAGATGCCCCAACGATTCTGCATCTGTGTTCCCATTTGGTAAAGGGGATTATCAGGGAGTACCAGCCTGCAATGCTTGGAATGCTGAATAAGCTGGTCTTCGTGGTCTTGTGACATTTTCCCGGTGACCTCACCTTTTCTGGGAGGGGAGAGACATGAAAAGGATGGCAAAAAAAACCGCCACGCCTGCGAAATTCGACGAGTTGGGTGAGCAGCTAGCTGGGAATAAGAACTTCCACATGTGACCCGTTCATTGTCCACTCGTCACTAGTCGTGGAGAGTAATAGTGGACAAGGTTGTGGTCAACATGTTCTCTGCCTTTGGCCGGCATAGGTCACAACTCTTGGTGAACCTCAGAACTGAATCCTTTACTTGAGAGCTGATCCCAGCAGAATCAAAGTCTTGGACATCAACAACTGATCACTAGCAGGTCATGTCCAGGGCCTACGATGTCCAGGGCCTAAGGGAAGAGGGGAAGGGCACACTCTAGGTGTGTTCTTTCCGTCCTCCCCGAATCCTTGGTGAAGCACAGTTTGACAGTCCGGTTGTGTGAACCGAACACACACGCACACACACACACAAAGAAAGAAAGAAAAAAAACAATAAGAAGAGCCTCCCCCAGCGTGCCAGCGGTGCCTTCCAGACGGTTCCGTAGGTCCCTTCGCCGACAGGTGCTCCCTGCTTCTCGTACTCATCCGATGTCCTTGAGCCAAGGTGGCCCTGATGTTCATGGTGTTCACCCAACGAGGTAGCAGAAACCACTTCAAAAAAGGATTGAGGTTGGAGCCCATCGCAAGTAGGTCGGAGGCCATCGCTATTAGGTTGGAGGCCATGGCTATTGGAAACAAAGAAAAAGAAAAGGAAGAAAGGTCTGATATAGTTTGCTAGTAGGTTGGAGGCCATCGCTAGTAGGTTCGTACAGCCTTGCCTGGGTGACTTCCTCCTCCAGTTTAGTCCTGTTCTAAAAGACCTTTCTTCCTTTCTTGTGTCTTTTCTTTTGACCTTTCTTCCTTCTATGTTTCTTTTGACCTTTAAACTTTGTCTTGCTATTTCTATATGTCCTTCCTTCCTTCCTTCCTTCCTTGCTTCCTTGCTTCCTTGCTTCCTTGCTTCCTTGCTTCCTTGCTTCCTTCCCTTCTTTTCTTGTCTTTTCTTTCTTTATACAGCTTTTAGACCTTTCGTTTTTGCTTCGCGCCCGTCTCCCATGAGAAGCTGAGCCTCACCCCAGCTCATTCTCTCTGTTTTGACTTCCGGTCCGTTTCCACATCGTTTCTTTGAGAAACGCCACAGAGTGCATAGTTATATATATATAGTTATTGTCATTTGAAAGGATAGACATATGTTTGGGATTGTTAACAATTCATAGTGGTTTCATTTTGTCCTTCCCTTTTTGCTATAACTCAACACCCAACAGAAAAAGAACAAAAAAACGCTTTTCGCAGTCCAGGAGTGGCTCCTGCTAAACCGGCCCGGTGGATGCATGGGGGTCCGCTGTGGGGGTCTGGACGGCTGCGTCCGGTAGGATGACGAGTCTTCTCTGGTTCTGGCAAGATGTCGATGGGGTGAGGTGGGTGAGGTGGGTGAGGTGTAGGTGGACCATTTTTTGGACAGTTCTTCCGCCACGAAACACATCCTCTCCTCAAGTCTTGAAAATGCCAGTAAGCAGGGGAAAAAAGGGATGCTCTTGATTCACATCGATTCATTCTGGTGGTTCGAATGCATTTGGAGGCCATCGTTACTAGGGTGGAGGCCATCGCAAGTAGGCTGGAGGCCATCTAATTGTCGCATTTGCCAATATGTGCTAGTAGTAACAAGAAGCTACTAGGAACAAGTGCCACGCTAGCAGTAACAGGTGCCTTACTAGTAGTAACAAGAAGCTCATTGTAATTCCAATTGCTATCCAATTGTCGTCCTGTCCCCAGTCTTCGACTGCGACCAATCCGGAGCCGAGACACATCGGGCACCGCCCAGTCGGCAGGTCGGCAGACCAGCGCAAGCTCCTCCAAAACGGGCGCCAAGTCCACATGGTGCGTGAAATGAAAGTTGAAAGTCCACATGATTAGATATTCATACGGATCAAAATCTAGACACCACAGTGTTCGCCAGCAGCTCTCCCATCTGTGGCAACATAGCTAAATATGTAGGATTGGTTTGAGGACTGGTTGTCACATAAGTGGCGAAGACCAACAGAACCACTCTATCTGTATATGATACTAGGGTGGAGGCCATCGCTAGGAGGTTGGAGGCCTGGAGGCCATTGCTAGTAGGGTGGCCACACACTATAATCGGACTTGACGGCTTGGCGAATGTAGCCTTCCCTCGTCTTGGCGGAAGCATTCGAGGGGATGACCCTTTCACCGAGCTAGTTTAGAAATTGAGGCCAACACCAGAACACCATCTTTAGCAAAGCTTCAGCATCCCAACACACCCAAAAACGTGGTTGAACAGCGAATGTCACTTTAAGCAACCCTGAAGTTCAAGACAAATCTCTTCTGTTCGTTCGTTCATTGGTCTGTTCCGATACCTGCCGCCTGTCCCATTCCGAAGCCCCCTTCTTCCGAAGACTGGATTGCCCACACCCGAGTCCTCGGGGCTCTCTGGAGTCCACGCTTCGCTAGCCATCGTCCGCCCACCCCCAGGCCGCGCTGGTGGGAAGGGGGAGGGCTCTGATGGTCTATGGGTGAAAGCTTTGCCCCACCTTCTTTTTGGTGTCAAGCTGGGAGTGGTGAACGGTCCGAGTTCAGAGCAACGCCTGGAGTGTTTGACCGGTGAAAAGGGCGAAAAACGTCGAAAACGGTCACCGAGTTGGCAGCTTCAGCAAGTTTACACGGTGCAATAGGGCGGTACAAGCTAGATGGTTGGGCTGGAGTGAAGTTGCCAGGCGTTGCTTGCGCCAAAGCAGGAGTTGAGGTTGGTGGGCTGAAAAGGTTTGACCATGATATTCCAATGCAGGGACCTCATGGAAAGCGGAGCATTCAACATCCACAAGTCGCTGACTTCGAGGGATTTTGAATGCTGAGTTTGCGGACCTTGGTGCACCCAGGGTGGGGTGTGTGCTCGCAGCTGGCGTGGGTGCCTTTGTCTTGGCCTCCCAAGTTTGGAAAAGAATCGAGGCAGACCTGCATGTCGACCCGTGGGTTGACGATTTTCTGAACACCGGACCAATAGTGACATGGGACCAATGCTGAAGTCTCTAAAAAAAGGGATGGTGGATCTGGTACGGGGGACATTTACAGCTGATGAGATCCTGTCAAGACTGACTTCAATTTGAAGTCTCGAGCCAGGTATGGGACGAAGGACTTGTCCATTGCCGAATTCAAGTCCAACCAGCTTTGATGAAACGCAGCCAATCACGAGTGTTTGGCCACATGCCCATCTTGATAAACTCTCGATTTGGACCAGATCCAAGTAGTTTCTTCGCATGTGGAGGAAATGCTCGGCAAAGCACTTTGTTTGGATTCACGAATCATGGTGCCAACACTGGAACAATGAGGCTCAAAGCCTGTGGCTGGGTCCATCTCCACCAATGAGGTTCAAATACTTGTGACCCAAACCATTGGTCATTTCCCATTTGCAAGGAAAACTAACCAACCCAGGAGTCGGTAGAATTCGAACGAAAAAAAGCAGAGATTCATGACCCGAACGGTCGAAGAGATAGGGTTTACCAGCCGCTCTGGTACCCACATGTCACTGATCCCATCACTCCGGGTAAAGGCTTGTGCCATCTTCCAGCCGAGGCCCCAGCGCCCAGACTGGCTCCATGCTACACATCGGAAGTGATCCGCTGGCGGATCCAGTTTGATCCTCGAAACTGGAGGACAAGTAGCGACGTAAGTCACGGAACCTCCAAAATGACTCCAAGAAATTCATCCTTGTCGAGAAAATGACGAATAAATGAAATGTCTCTTCAATCTGCAGATCTGTGGAGTAAATCTGCAAAATGCAAGTATGCCGCCGTCCTGGAGGATGCTTCTCAATGCTTTGACCAAGAACCTTCTTTCACATCAAGAATTTTGCAGCGTTCTTGCTCCTAGTAACGATGCCCTTTTTCCTAGTAGCGATGCCAGGAGCACCCCTAGTAGCGTCCTTGCCTAACCGTACGTTTCACATCAAGGAGCCTTTGCTACTCTTGAGCCGGACAACTGCATCTCTGCGGCGCTGACTCCGCTGACCGCGAACTCATCAACTTGACCGCTCGCTGACTGGGCAGATTGAACGTATTCCTGTACGCTAATTGCTAGCTACTGGACACAGGATAGCTCACGCTATTCATTTGGTTCCTAGATTTGTTGTGGTTGTTCCCAATTGCAATTCCAATTGTGTCATGGTCGTTTATCATTCAAAAGCAATAGGCAGGTCGAAGTAAGAAATCTGAATGCCAGGGTCCCTCACTTGAAGAAAAGCTCAATATGCAAAAAGGTAAGCCAGTGAACGTGCCGCGGGAATGATTACAAGCCTCATAATCCTGCATGCACCAAAAATGAGATCAAATCCTCTACCAGAACATTCATCTCACCTGCCCTATTCCCTGACAAAAACAAAAACTGACGGACAGAGTCCTATCAACGAATCAGAAATTCCTCTGGTTCCCACCTATAAACAATGGGATCATACAGAAGCAGGAAATCCCTTCCAACCCCTCGATGATCTAGTCCTCCCCGCAATGCCTGCTCCGCCTTGTTCATGTGATGCACCTGTGGAAACCACCTGTTCGGCAACAAATCGGGGGCGCTCGTGGCAGATGTTGATGTCCGTAAGTCTTATCCAAGAAGGAAACACATCCAAATACAAAACAGTTCAAGGACATATGTTCTGCTGTACCATCCAAAAGATTCTCTGATAAACTTGTTGTATAGAATCCAGCTGTAGATCACTAAGGTTAAAAGCCCGACCATCTCTTGTGCTCAGGAATTACCTAAGAACCCGCTGCAAGGCAGCTTGATTGAGGTAATCTAGCTTACAGCAGCTTGGAGTGGAAGTGAGTATAATATATAGTGCATAGTGCAACAGCTTGAGTACACCCACAGAAGCACCTTGAGGAACTAGGATTGAATGATGGTTCAGAGTTCATCTGAGCCCACATAGTAGCCTGACTTTGTCGTAAGAGTTTGTGAGCAGCTCAGTCAAGCAGTAAGGAAAAGCCCCAGGACACCAGGGCACAACCCTCAGCAAATCAATCAGAGTGTAACAACTCAGAATAGAGAATAGAACAAAAGGGGTATTGTCCATTAACAGTATGTGCATGTATGTGCTGCTTTGCAGGTCTGTTGTATTTGAAACGTGTAGTGCACAAGTAGTAGTCCATGACGTTCAATATGTTTATTATCCCGGCAAGAGACCCCAAACAGTGTGGAGTGTGTATCATACGCAGTCATCACAGAAAGTGGTAGCAGGAGGAGGTGAAGCACCCGCGAGCACGAAGGAGGAGAAAGTAGAAATGCATGGAAGTAGGAAGAGTAGCACCCGCGAGCACGAAGTAGAAGGTGAGGTGTAAATTCGAACAAACAATTCGAACAGAAAAATGAAATATCCAAAGAAAGAGAAAATCATTGTCCAAGGCGGAAAGGTCCAATGTCAAAGTATAAATTGAAAGGCAGCAGTCGTCAAGCGCACTTTTTTCCTTGAGTAGAGCAGGCAGGAGCACAATGTGTCGCGGAGTCGCAGACAGAGCATAGAAATGCTCACAGGAGACACCTTGGTTCTTCCACTGCATCGCGGCGATCACCACCATGTCCAAAGTGCTGCGCCCGCCACGAAAACTGCACTTCGGAGTCAAGCACCTCCGATCCCTTGCACCTGTCACGAAAAGTCGACTTTGGAGCACCAAAACACGAGGTTTCCAGTGATCACCATGTGCGAAAATGCGCACAGCACCACAACGAGAGCGCAGTCGCGACAAGCACTCGCTCCAGCCACCCAGATTCTGCGAGCCTGCGCGGACGATGTCGAGAACCATGAATGTACTGTAAATAGCAGCGAATCAGCCGCACACGCCCGTGCGCTTCAGCGATCTAAGCATCAGCTGCCTTTCCCTTACCGTAAGAACCCCTCAGTGTGCCCACACTGTTTGGGGAAAAAATGAAAAAAAGAAAGAGAAAAACATGTTGAGCTACCCGCTCACATCGTCTCTTTGAAGCTGAGGAGAGGCCAGATCCAAACCAAATCAGATACATTGAGGAAAGGGTAAAGGTTTCGATGAGAAATCCCTACCGACATTGTGCCAAGCGGTTTTTCCCTCTGGGGAAACCTAGAAAGTGGTAGATCAGGGAACTCCGTGCACCTCTTGTGAAAAGCATCGAAAATGGATAGTGACCCCTGGCCACCCCGCAGAACGCTCCCGGCTTCTGCACGTCTTTGCTGGTCGTAGCATAGAGGGCAGCGCGCTCCTGGGAGCTGGTGAAACGATTCCCAAGGAAGCTTCTAGTTACTAGTAGCTTCTTGCTCCTAGTAGCGATGCCAGGAGCCCCTAGTAGCGTCCTTGTTCCTAGGTCTTCGTTTGTCGCTGGATCACCTTCCGGAAGAATCCACAGCTTCATGTCAGGCGGGGTGCTTTCTCAAAGTTCGGAGTCTTTAGATACAAGCTCAGTAGGGATGCTACTATATAGGAGCAAGGACGCTACTAATAGCAATGGCCTCCAACCCAATAGCAATGGCCTCCAACCTAGGGGCTCCTGGCCTTACTACTAGGAACAAGCTGGCTCAGTAGGGATGGTAGCTGAGGAGCTTGTTTGGTAGGACTGCCATCGAGGCCCATGGAAGAGAATGCAAATCAAGACAGGTTGACTCAGGTTGACCTTCGTGCATGATGCATCTGGAATCACAAGGCAACAATGAAAGGGTGATAGCGCAAAGTATTCCTCCATGAGTCCGTGGGTCGTCCATTTGTCCATGAGCACTACCAAGTCAATGCTGGTTCGGCCAATGACGTGAGGAACTAGCGTGGCACTTGTTACTACTAGTAAGGCACTTGTTACTACTAGTAAGGCACTTGTTACTACTAGTAAGGCACTTGTTACTACTAGCGTGGCACTTGTTACTACTAGCTTCTTGTTACTACTGGGTCTAAGCCGACCTGTCCTCCACAACGCCCGCACTTGAGACTCACTTCTTTTGCACCTCCAGGGTTGCGCCAGATCTGCACCGGGCTTTGTCTCGAGATGGTCATCATTGTCCAGTCCCCTTGAGACAAATCCCAGCTTTCATCACACCTTGGGCACACCAGGTTTGGCACTTCCAAGGCGGAGCAAGAGTTCGGCTGAAGCCACTTTGGGCTTGGGTGGCTTGGCAGTTCTTGTGAACATAAAGAGTTTCAGAAAATGTAGCTCTCCTCAAAGTATCCTCAGCAATGAAAGCTGCAATGACTTTTATGCTGTTGCTAATGACTCATGACCAAGGTGTCATCTTGTGGAACTGTGGACGGCGCTTCTAAACACCTCAAGACGGACACGGGAAAAGGTTCCACATATATGTGCATCCACTTTGTCAAAAACGGGTGGCACATGGCCTCGGCTTGGGATAACGATCGAGCTTTAAAAACGCGCAAATGCTAAAAAAAAAGTCCACCTGCGCCCAGAACAGACTGCTCTGATTAACCCTTTGCTCACCAATGCTGTCACCACGTCTACAAACACCTCGTGGATCTTGTCTCCATCTCCAAGGCTCGGATCAACTCGGGGTACACGGCCGTGTAAAAGAGCGGAAAATTGTAGATCAAACGTTGTGGCCTCAGACGGGCGACTTCCACTTCCGAGAGGACGGCTGGTCCACTTCGGAAAGTCGAAAGCTTTTTCGAACGGCTCTTCGCCGGAACTCGCGAGTCGAACGGATCGGTTGAAGCGTCTGGCGAGCGCGCTTAGCGCGGAAGGCGGGCGGGCTATGACGCCAAGTCGTGCTCTTCCCACGAGTTCCCAGAAACCGGGGTTTGTGGGCAATCAGAATGGATTGCTTCAAGCAGCGGTTTTGCTCATGTTTCCCCCTGTTGACTACTACATGAAGCAAGCGTCTTCTTTCACCGGCGGCGTTCAAAAGGCCACGTCAAACGTGCCATCACACCACGCATCGAAAAACGGACCACTTTGACTCAACTGACCAACGCCCCCCTCCTTCTCCATTACCAGGCGATATGACTATACTTTGGATCTATCCTAATACCTGTAATGCCTGTAACAGTGGATGATGATGGTTAGTGAAGGCCTTGTTCAAAAATAGTATATAGTAATTGTTTACTGTATGTCTTTTCGTGTCGTCGGTGTCTCGCTTGCGGTTGGGCAGTCACGCAACCCCCAAAAGACAATGCTGATAGGCTCACCCTCAGCACACCTCCAATCTCGGCCTGTGCCCACGTTGGTCCCAGTGGCAATTCCTTTGCATCAAACTTGTTGAAATTCCGCCGGGTCTGCATAGGAGCGATCGGACGCTACTAGGGGCTCCTGGCCTTACTACTAGGAGCGATCGGACGCTACTAGGGGCTCCAGGCATCGCTACTAGGAGCATTCCTACTACTAGGAACATTGGTTCCACAAAGCCAGGCAGAGAAATTAACTCACATCTCGAGCCGTAGCCAAAGAACCTGTTGTGTCAACGCCAGGCACTTTCATGTCATGGTATCGCAACAGTGTTATGGGTTACAAAACATGATCATCAATTTCACAACATGGCACAATCGGGTCTCGACCTCAGAGTCGACCCATCTAGACCCTGCCCAGGTGGTGTGACCGATCTGCTCCACCTGCTGCACAAAGGCGGTCCCAAAGTGCAGGTTCGCCAGTATGGCCTGCACCAACCAGTGAGAGAGGGGCCAATGGGCATGGGAACGACAGCGGCCAAGGTGACCAATTGTCCATTCGAACGAGCAATCCACCATCAGCGATCCACCAGCTAGCATCCTTGCTCCTAGTAGCGAGGCCAGGAGCCCGTAGCAGCATCCTTGCTCCTAGTAGCGATGCCTGGAGCCCCTAGTAGCGTCCTTGCCTCTAGTAGTAAGGCCAGGAGCCCCTAGTAGCATCCTTGCTCCTAGTAGCGATGCCTGGAGCCCCTAGTA